CATTCATTATATTAGAGTAGTCTAGAACAAATTTGAGACATTGTTTTTAATAAATTTTTATCATTAATGAGTTTAATAAAATTGAAAAGTTTACTTATATTTGTGTTAAATATAAATACATAATATTATAAAATAATGATAAATGAATAATAATTGCAGGTATACTTTTTGACAAATGTAAATTTGATCTGAAAAGTTTTCTGTAGGATTTCATGATCTGAATACAGAATTTGTAGTCAAGAAATATCAGTTGAATACGATATAGAATTCTTAGTAAAAGAACTTGAATTAAAGATTACTTTAAATTGTTTATCTGTGAGGAATTTCTTTTTGATTGTTAAAGTAGCATTGAAAATTTTATTCTTCACTTATTGTCTTATAAAAAGACTATTTAGGAGGAGAAAAATTCATATACTGAAGTAGCAGATAAATGATTAAGATCTATTAATTTAATCTATTCTTCATTATATGTTAGTTAAAAATGAACTGATGATACTATAAGTACCGAGAAGAGTAAGATAGATTTGTTCTAGTTAATCAGAATACTATTAAGTTGGTAAAAGTCATCAGCTATTGTTAAAATTAACTCAAAATTATCCTTAGATTTACTGATATATAGAGTATCATCCATATAGGCCAAAGTGGATACTTGTACTGATAAAAAGAATAGTGAGGTGTTACTAATATTTGGATGCCATTTAATTGACATATTATAACCAAGAGTGATATTTTGAATTTGATATAATAAAGGATTGTAATATATATACCAAAGGATCAGTAAAATAATTTCACTTTGGTCAATACTTGAGATAACTGAGTAGTGATTAGTGTTTCTATAAGCTATTAAAACAATTTGAAAATAACAAAATAATAAAATAAAAAAAATAAAGAAAAAATTTTAAATGATTAAGAGTACAAGTTAACATAGTGACATTAACTCTATTATATGTTTTTAACATATCCTAAAAAAGAATCTAAAGTTACTTGCTCTTGTGAGAAAGATAGTTATATTTAATATTATTAAGAATATGTATTGTTTGAATATGAGACAAAAAGGTAATCCAGCAAAGTTATTTTCTTATAATACAGAATTTGTAGATAGAATGTCTAACAGCTATTTGTTAATGAGTTTCACTATAGCTTTATGAAGGCATTCTAATAGTATTATAAGCCAGATATTATTCAAATTGTATTCTTATAGGTTGGGTTTAAGAATTGAATACACAAACATTAAATTTTATCAGTCAGACATACAAAAGAGTTTAAGGTAGATACAAATAAAAATTTACAAAGTATATTTCAATTTAAAGCCCAAATGTTTCAGCATTTCATTTAAAATTTTTGAAGGATCAGGAGCTTTGTCATTAGGTAATGTTTGAAGAAGTTTGTACTATTTGTATTCATTTAGTAGATCTATAAAGTTATCATAAATTTGAAAATTTATTGATTCTATTAGTTCATATTATTACTTCTATTCATCAGAAAGTGATACAAAGTGGTGCCTAATACCAGTTGTTTGTTGGAAATATCTGTTAGTTTCATATTTGACATTCTTAGCTGAGGTAAGTAAACCAAGATTATTAAGTGAGTTATCAATGCATCTATCAAGAATAATTGTATGTCTTTGTCTATTAAAAATAAAATCATATATTTTAGCTTGATCATCATGAAAATTATCATATTAGTGTTGTAGGGCTACTTTAATTTGTTTTAATTTATGTTTATCTTCTTCTAATTTAATTGCGATCATATGAACTTTAAGTAACTCAATAATATTTTATTGAACTGTGATTAGATCATCGGTAGTAAAATCTATAAGTTATATCTAATTCAAATTATACTTTGTTGATATATCGAATATTGTATTGTAAGCTTGTAATCAGTTTTGAAAAATAGAATTAAAACGAATATATTTTTTAGTAAAATATTGAAACTTCTGCATAAAAACTAATTGTTGATATAAATTTTTTAATAATTAAGATCTAAGGTCACGAGAATGTTAAGAAGAATATTGTGATAGAATATATTTCTTAATTGCTTTTTCAATATATCCTTGTATGAGATCCTAGAAGTAAAGCTTCAAACGATTCAAATTAATCTGAAGATTTTTCAGATCAGTTCAGTTCAGATCAGTTTCAGATTGCATAAAAATCAATCTGAAAATTTTTAGTTCAGTTTAGATTTTTTTCAAATTATAATTCTAATCTGAACTGAAAAAATCTGAACTGAACCAATAATTTCTGATTAATCCAAAAGTTCAGTTCAATTATATGTGAAACTCTTAAAGGATTGCAAAATTTGTGAATTCTCTAAAAGGATCGCAAAAATTTAGTAAACTCTTAAAAAATTGTAATTTTTTGCGATTTCTCTTAGAATTTCACAAAAATATCACGAAACTCTTAAAGAATTGCAAAAATTGCGATTTCTTTTAGTATTTCGCAAAAAATATTGCAAAATTCTTAAAGAGTTGCATAAAATTGTGATTTTTCTTCGAATTTCACAAAAATCTTGGAGAATCGCAAATTTTTGCAATTACTCATTGAATTTTGCAAATTTTCGTGAATCTCAAAGAGAAATTCATGATTTTTTGCGATTTTCTGCAATTCTCCTAGAGTTTCATATATAAATTGCGAATTTCTTATATAATTGAACTGTAATTTTGAATTAATCTAAAAATTCCAGTTCAGTTCAGATTTGGATTAGCATTTTTAAGATTAATAATCTGAACTGAACTGAACTGAAATTTTTAGTTTAGATACAGATTGGCATCTAATCTGAACTGAACTGAATCATTCAGAGCTTTACCCAAAAGAAATTGAGTACATGTTTTAAATATAATCTATTAGAGATAAGGTTAGTTAGTTGATTACTACTAAGGAAACCATTCATTCTTTTATCAAACTGTGTCTAAAATTATTCGTCCATAAAGTTATAGAGGTAAACCTTTTTTTTTAACTTGATTTTTATGATTATTCAAAATGTTAAGTTCAGTTATATTTACATTAATTAAAATAATAGAATGATCAGAAATGCTAAAATCAATAGTGATAGTTTAAGCTTTATTAAGATCAGCTGTAATATGTGAGGTGGTATAAACATGATCAATTCTTGATGATTGATAGTTTGTGAAGTGAAAAAAAGAAAATTGTTGATTAGTATTATTGTATAAAAGGTTAAAGGAGTTAAAGAGTTGTAGATCATCAAGTTGAGAAAAGAAAGAATTAGCATTTGATATGTTATTAAAATAATCAGAAATAGCGTTAAGATTGCCTATTAAAATAATTTTCATATTGAGATCTCTGGCTAATTTGATGACATTATATACTTCTTTGTGAGTTTGTTTTTGAAGGACTGAGTTTAAATTTGATATATAACAATTAATTAATCTAATGTAAAATTTATTAAGAAATTGAAAGTTGACAAAAATATAAAGTTTGTGTTGATTGTGATGCTTATAGACAGTGTTGTTATGAGACATTAATGGGACACTGATGGGATATAGATGAGATAGATAGGACATTTGGGACATAGTGTAGGACAGGTTGGGACATATAGCTGGACATATAGCTGGGATAACAAATCTCTGGGACATCAAAAATGTACATCACTGCTTATAGATATGATCAGCAATATGTTTTTTGATAAGGAGGTCAACATCAAAACCAGAATTTTATGATTATTGATCAAAATTAAAAAAAATACGAATAAGAAGATGAAGTTAATTTAAAAAAGATAGAATAATATTATTTAATTTAAAATTAATCTCTTGAAGGTCTATTATATCTAAATGATTAATTTCATAAGTATTAAGTAAAAATTATTATTTTTGTGATTAAATGAAAGAATGAATATTATGTATTACAATATTAAGTCGAGAAGATAAAGTATTATTAGTAAAAATAATATTATAGTTAGAGTTAATATTTGTTATGTTATTATTTAATATTGGATTGCTAAAGCCTACCTATTTATTATTATTTAAAGTATCAATTATTAAAAATATTTAGATATAGGGAGAATAAATATACTATCAACTGATTTTGCATAACTGGAAGAAAGAGTAACTTCTTTAATAGTAGCAAAAGTATCTGGGGTAATACTAAGTTATGATTATAAGATTCTTGTATATTAACGATGGTACATCTAGCATTGTTAAATTTTATTATATTATTTTCAAGGTTGGTTTTAAGGAAAGCATTCTCGTCTTTTAAAGTAGGTAATTTAGCAGATTATTTAGTTATAATATTATCATTTGTATTGGAATCAGCTATATAGGTATATTTCTTAATTTCTATACCATTTTTATTAAAAGATTTATTGAGTAAATTTGCTTGATATGAAAGCAAAACATCAATGTTAAGAACTTTTCAACTATAGTAATATAGTTAACAGTCAAGCGAAGGTCTGCATCTATCTTAGCAAGTTGTTTAGAAATAGTGAACAATTGATTAGAGATTTATGTAAGTAATTCAGGTTATAAAAATTGATCAGAATTATTATTCACCTTACAATATTCTTCATTTCATTTGCTGATTAGATAATTTGATAATATTGTTAAGGATGAATTTATTTTTGACATTATTTTGCTATTGATTAGGCTTTTGATTTTTGGTTGTCTGAGGTTTTTTAGAAGGAGATAAAGGCTTAGAAATAATAACAAGTGCTTTGTAATTGCGAAATTGTGTAGGTTAATAATATTAATATAAATGTTGAGTTTTTCAATCTTATAATACTGAACAATTTCTGTGACAGTTTTGTGATTGATGACCTGAAATTTGACAGATAAAGCAAAGTTTAGCGTTAGGATTAGTTCAAATCAATCTTTTCTTATTGAGAAAGTATGTTTTACTATTTTTTGCAGCTTTTATGAATTCTTTAGTTTTGAAATAAAAGATGACATTGTAAGTTTCTGTAGTTAACATGTGACTTGGAAATGACTCAAGTGATCACTTCAACTGCATTACCAATCAAGATTAATTGATGACCATTAGTGTCAAGAAGGAGATTAGTTAGTTTTAGAGAAAACTCTGATTTTTTTCTAATATCTTCAACTGCCATAGTGTATAGATAGACTTTAACTAAATCTTTAAAAACGAAATAGCTATTAAGCTTATGCAGTGTAGTCATATCAGTATTTTATTTATATGTAAGAGTAGTTTGCTGCTAAAGATTTTTGTTAATATAACGTAACAGGAAATTTTTCTAAAAAAGGAGAAGATCAATTTGATGTTTGATTCAGTAGTTAAGATCAGAATCCCAGTAAGATAGATTGATAACTCAGGGATATACTTAGCTATTGGTTTAGGTATAAGGATAAAAATATACCATTATCTAAATAAGAAAGTCTAAATGTAATTGCATTATTAGCCTTACTATATGAGGTAAAACCAATTTAAATGATTTTTTTTATTGAATATTCAGAATAAACGTGAAT